AAAACAATAGAAAGAGTCAATGAAAGCAGAAGATGGTGCTTCAAGAAAATAAAATAAACCCCTAGCCAGACTTACCAAGAAAAAAGTGTCTTCACACATAAACAGAATCAGAAATCAGAAGGAAAAATCACGATGGATACCACAGAAATGCAAAAAATTATTAGAGAATACTATGAAAAATTATATGCCAACAAACTGGAAAACCTAGAAGAAATGGACAACTTTCTAGAAAAATACAACCTTTCAAGGCTGACCCAGAAAGAAGCAGAAAATCTGAACAGACCTATACCTGCAATGAAATTAAACTGGTAATAAAAAACCTACCTAAGAATAAAATTCCTGGACCAGATGGCTTCACTGCTGAATTTTATCAAACATTTATGAAGATCTAATACCCATCTTCCTTAAAGTTTTCCAAAAAGTAGAGGAAGGAATACTTCCAAACTCGTTCTATGCATAGAGTATAACCCTTATACTAAAATGAGGCAAAGACACCACAAAAAAATAGAAAATTACAGACCAATATCCCTGATGAACATAGATGCAAAAATACTCAACAAAATATTAGCAAATTCAAAAGTACATCAAAAAGATCATCCATCATGATCAAGTAGGATTTATTCCAGGGATGCAAGGATGGTACAATATTAGAAAATACATCAACATCATCCACCACATCAACAAAAAGAAGGACAAAAACCACATAATCATCTCCATAGATGCTGAAAAAACATTCAACAAAATTCAACATCCATTCATGATAAAAGCTCAACAAAATGGGTATAGAGGGCAAGTACCTCAACATAATAAAGGCCATATATGATAAACCCACAGCCAACATTACACTTCACAGTGAAAAGCTGAAAGCTTTTCATTCAAGATTGGGAACAAGACGAATATGCCTACTCTCTCCACTTTCATTTAAGATAGTCCTGGAGGTCCTGGCCATGGCAATCAGACAACACAAAGAAATAAAACAGGATCCAGATTGGTAAAGAAGTTAAACTGTCCCTATTTGCAGATGACATGATTTTGTACATAAAATGCTCTGAAGAATCCACTCCAAAACCACTATATCTAGTATCTCAGTTCAGCAACGTGCAGGATACAAAATTAATGCACAGAAATCTGTTGCACTCCTATACACTAATGATGAAGTAACAGAAAGAGAAATCCCAAAAACAATTCCATTCACAATTGCATCAGAAAGAATAAAATACCTGGGAATAAATCCAACCAAGGAAGTGAGAGACCTATACACTGAAAACTACAGGATGCTGTGAGAGAACTTAAAGAAGATACCAAATAGAAACACATCCCATGCTCATGGATAGGAAGAATTAATATTGTCAAAATGGCCATCCTGCATAAAGCAATCTACAGATTCAGTGTATTCCCTATCAAAATACCAACACATTCTTCAATGAACTAGAGAAAATAATTCTAAAATTCATATGGAACCACAGAACACCCTGAACAGCCAAAGCAATCCTGAGAAGGAAGAATACAGCAGGGGGGATCTCGCTCCCCAACTTCAAGCTCTACTACAAAGCCATAGTAATCAAGACAATTTGGTACTGGCACAAGAACAGACCCACAGACCAGTGGAACAGATTAGAGAGCCCAGATATAAACCCAAATATATATGTTCAATTAATAGACGATAAAGGAGCCACGGACATACAATGGGGGAAATGACGGCCTCTTCAACAGCTGGTGTTGGCAAAACTGGACAGCTACATGCAAAAGAATGAAACTGGATTATTGTTTAACCCCATACACAAAAGTAAATTTGAAATGCATCAAAGACTTAAATGTAAGTCAGGAAACCATAAAACTGTTAGAAGATAATAGAGGCAAAAATCTCCTGAATATAAACATGAGCAACTTTTTTCTGAATGCATCTCTTCAAGCAAGGGAAACAAAAGCAAAGATAAATACATGGGACTACATCAAACTCATAAGCTTCTATACTGCCAAAGACCCCATCAACAGAACAAAAAGGCGTCCTACAGTATTTGAGAATATATTTGTGAATGACATATCTGACAAGGGGTTAACATCCAAAGTTTATAAAGAACTCATAAGCCTAACACCCAAGAAGCAAATAACCTGATTAAAAAATGGGTGGAGGATCTGAACAGACAGTTCTCCAAAGAAGAAATTCAGATGGCCAACAGGCACATGAAAAGATGCTCCACATCACTAATTATCAGGGAAATGCAAATAAAAACTGCAATGAGCTATCACCTCACATCAGTTAGGATGGCCCATATCGAAAAGACTAAGAACAACAAATGCTGGCGAGGATGTGGAGAAAGGGAAACCCTCCTACACTGCTGGTGAGAATGTAAGCTAGTTCAACCATTGTGGAAAGCAATATGAAAGTTCTTCAAAATACTAAAAATAGAAATACCATTTGACCTGGGTATTGCACTCATAGGAATTTACCCAAAAACTATAATTTCTCAGTTTCAAAAAGACATATGTGCCCCAATGTTTATTGCAGCACTATTTACAATAGCTAAGATATGGAAGCAACCTAAGTGTTCACCACTATATGAATGGATAAAGAAGATGTACATATACACAATGGAATACTACTCAGCCATTAGAAAGAAACAAATTCTTCAATTTGCAACAAGATGAATGGCGCTGGAGGGTATTATGCTCAGTGACATAAGGCAGGCGGAGAACGACAAGTAACAAATGATTTCCCTCATCTGTGGAGTATAACAACGAATCAAAACTGAAGGACCAAAACAACAACAAACTCACAGACTCTCAGAAGGGACTAGCAGTTACCAAAGGGGAGGGGTGGGGGAGGGAGGGAGAAGGGGACTCAGGGTATTATGATTGGCACACATGGTGCGGGGGGTGGTATCAGGAAGAAGACAGTGTAGCCCAGAGAAGGCAAATAGTGACTCTGGCACCTTGCTGCACTGATGGGCCTTGACTGCAGTGGGGTGTGGGGAGTCACGATAATGGGGCTGAATGTAGTAACCACATTGTTTTTTCATGTGAAATCTTCATAAGAGTGTATATCAATAATACCTTTATAAAAAATAAAAAGAATGAAAAAAGAAAAAGACTTTGAACTACAAGTTCAAATACCAAATTATCTCTTGATAGTTTTTTATTATTTGTCCTTCTCTTTCGAAAACTTATTACACTTTTCTTTTAAATTATCTGTTATCATAAATGCATGTTATTTTTTAAATTATAAGGAAAATTTTGCAAAATCTAGATATGTTATGTAATAAATGAATTGTGCAGATTTTCTAGGTAGAGCTTCTGACCCACATATGTTGTAAGTGGGACACATGTGGGCCGCGGTTTTCCTGTACAGTTGTCAGGGACTGAGCAGCCACCCAGGGCGGGGCCTCCTCTGGCCTCCCTGTGGTACAGAGTCCCTTCATCATTCCTGCCAGTATTCCTTGAAAAAATTCGGGAAGCAGTGTGCTTAGTGTCCTGGAAATAATAGCTCCTACTGCATGCCTTAATTGGATTCAGTTTTCTATTTGTGCCTTGTTCATTACCAGAATAATAAGATTAATAACCCTTATAAAGGCTATCATTTATTAAGTATTAAACTATGCTATGGGCCGGGCACTGTGCTACGTACTCTACATCTGTTATCTCATTTAATTCTTATGATAACCAGGTGAAGCTTAGATATTTCTATCCCAGTTTTACAGGTGAGAAAATGGATGATGAAATGTTAAATTACTAATTTGCTAACTTCTAAAATGGCAGAACTGGGATTCTAACCTAGGTATATCTTATTCCAGTGTGTCTACTCATAACCAGTATATCCTATTGTGCCCTATATTGTGCCCAGTTTTCGGGAACCTATCAGTTATGTGAAGCAAGTTGTAACTGTATCAGATAAACAGAGGATTACATACACAACAGTGGTTCATCTCACCATCTCTTTCCCACTAGAGCCTCAGCTCCGTGAGGACAGCTTGTCTGTCTTGTCTGCCCAGCACAGGAGGCGAATGAATATAGAAACACAACAGCTCAAAATCTTTGAGACTCAGCAACAGCAATTCTAAGAAGGAAGTTTATAGCAATACAGGCCTACTTCAAGAAGCAAGAAAAATCTCAAACCAGCTGTCCTTATACCTAAAGGAATTAGAAAAAGAAAACAAAAAAGCCCAAATTTAGTAGAAGGAAAGAAATAATAAGGATCAGAGCACAGGTAAATGAAATAGAGCCTTAAAAAAGAAACAGTAGAAAAGATGAGTGAAACTAAGAGCTGCTTCTTTGAAAAGATCAAGAAAATTGGTAAACTTTCAACCAGACTCATCAAGAAAATGAAAAAGCAGTTACACCCAACACCATAGAAATAGAAGAGATTATAAATTTGTTGTTCCAAAAGCTTTTTGAACAATGGCGTATAGTTTTTTTAATCCCTAAGAGAAAAACATTTCCTCAGTCAGTTGGTCTGTAGACTGTTCAGCTTTCTAGGTCGTCGTCTGCTGAGACGCTCTGAGTCCCTGTCCGTACAGCCTCCAAGCGGATGTGCTGGTCCCAGCCTGGGACTGCTGTCCTTGTCTCAGAGAAGACTTCTGGTTTCTCCTCCTACATGTTCCCACCTTGCATTATCAGCCCTTATCTTAGACAAGGAGTTTGGCAACAGGAGCTTTGACAGACCCTTTTTCCTGGGTATTAGTCAAAGAATTCTAGATCCCCAAGTTCCTGGATAATACCTAATCTTACATTATTAAAACATACCGGATAGTATGTTTCCATTGCCGCTGCAACCAAAAAATTAATAAGAGACAAGTGTTAGATTCTAATGAACAATGAGCTTTGGGTAAAAATTACAAGCTTTTATATCTAGCTGATGGGCCTTTCACCTATATTTGCTTAGTTTTTCAGAGTGACTTCCATCCCATACCTGTTGCTCTTGTACCATTAATTTTAATGTATTTTAAATTGTATAGGAAAGAGCTGCTCAAGTTTTATAAATGGTGTTTTTTTCCTTCTACTAGGTCTCTCTGCAGTGCAGTCAGTGTTTACAGCCTCACCTGCAATAACTGTTCAGAAAATTGCACCGATGTTCTGTTCAGTAACAAGATTACCTTCTTAATGGACCTCCTGGTACACGAGTTGACGGTATGTAATATTATTGCTCTGAATTAGAAGCAGTTAAGTTATGGGAAATATTCCTTGGAGAAAGCTATAAGAATTCAACTATTTACTCTCCAGATTTTAAAAAGTGACGATGATTGGGAAAGTAAAATAGGGACTACCAGAAAAACCTAATTAAGATTTTCATGTTCGATGCTCCTAAGTTCAAAATTTAATGGATAATATACTTGCAACACTTGCCAGGATCACATATTTACATGGTTAAACGGAGCTTTGGAATCAGTTGGACTCAAAGCCACACCTCTGAGGCCACAGGAATGCTTTAGAAGGGAGAAAAGCCTGGTAAAACCTCAAAACTTCAGTTTAGGATCAGTTTGAAAAGGACTTTTCGATAGCCATTGATTTTTTGTTTGTTTTAAAGCAACAGACACCTCTATCAGAGAAGGGGCAAATCTGTTGTACTTTTGAAATGGGAACAAGCAGCCAACTGTAGCCTTAAATTTTACTTCACTTCACAGATGTTGAGATAGGTAAGCTCAGTGTAATAATATCAGAAGGTTTAGGTCTGTCAACTGCAATCTCCAGAACACAGGCCTGGGGCCAAAAGCTGCCTTATGAAGTTTCTAAGCCCCTGAGGTATTGGCACAACATTGCTCTCAGGTTGCAAGTTTACAACACAGTAGATTTATTTTTCAGAACCAATTTACTTTTACTCAGCACATAGTTCTAATAGCTCTTCCTAAACTGCACACCTTTTGCTCTCTCCTCCTCCATCTGGTTAATATCTACACATTCTGCAGACCTTAACTGAAAAAAAATGGCACCTTCCTCACGAAACCTTTCCCAACCTGACTCTTTCCCCAAGTCCAGGTTAGGTATTCTTCACATATGCTCCTAGGTATTACATCTTTTATGGAATTGATCACATTGAACTGTAACTATCTGTTGATTTCCTCTCTTAGTCATAAAGTCAGCTAGAACAGGAGGTAACTTAATCACTTTTTTCAAAACCCTAACACAAGGCCTGACACTTAGTAGATTCAGTGTCGATGAATATATAAGTGAATAAATGAATCTGCACTCATCTCAAGGCGAAAACCAGAAAGGGAATAATGAGAACTTTACAGGCAGGCATTCTGATAACAAGAGAGGACAACAGTGAGGGAGAAAAAACACAGACCTAGAATTGTTACACAGTACAACAGTGGCTATTTGTAGTAATGACACCGAGTCATCATTTGAGGGCTAAATATGCCTTTATCTATAAAAGAAGGCATTAGAATAACAGTAAGAAAGTTTTGCAAGAAATTCTATCAGAAAAGTTGAAAGGTAGGGACAAGGAGAAAAGATAGCACGTGTTATAGGTACTCCCACTTTCTATTATATTCCAGGTATTTTAATACATATTGCCTGATTTAATCTTTAAAGCATAAAGTCAGTATTATTGCCCCATTTTACAGATAAGGAAACTTGAATTCCAGAGAGGTTGGCTTGCCCCGGGCAATACAAATAGTAAGTCACACAGCCAGGAGGCAAACCTAATTAAGGAACATTACACATGATAACTGACATTTTTCAAAAATGTCAATGTCATAAAAGACAAAGATTGGGGAACTGTCACAGATTGGAGGAGATTAGGGAAATCTGACAATTCAGTGTATTGTGAGATCCTAAACCAGAAAAAGGACAAGAGTGAGTAAATTGGGAATCCAGATAAGGTCTATAGAATGGTTAATTTTATTGACTGAATGTTAATTTCCTACTTTCAGTGATTGTGATTATACTATAGTTTGTAAGATGTTAGTAATAGTAGGGGATACTGGCTGAAAGGACATTTACTTTTTTTGCAACATAGCTGTTTAAAATTATTTCAAAATAACTTCAAAAAAACCCACTTTCTCCCATTGTTCCATGCTGCATTATCTGGAAGAATTTATTCTATGGAACTTACTCTGTGTTGATAATGGAAGAAGAGAGAACGTGCTTTCAACAAAACGAGTAATGAAAGAGGTAGCATTCGAGATGCGAAGGAATGAGAGGACTTGCGGACAGGACCATACATCCTAGTTCTTCATTCATTTCTTGTCCAAATTTATTCTTACTGAGAGGTATCATATGAGTAGTTTATTTCTTCTCTCAATAATTAAGTGCCTGCTATTCCCACTTCCAGAAATGCATAAGATCTGATCCCAGCCATGCATTAAATCCTGCTTAGGAGTGGAGACAGATATATATAGATTGCATATAATAAATTGGATGATAAGATTCAAGGTGGCTTGACAGGTGAGACACAGAATTCCTCCCAAAACCACATATAGTATGAAAATATAATTAATACAAGTAGCTCTAAAACAGCAACAGGAAAGAAGGCTGCACCAGACTGCATACAGATCTCACTAACAGAGCAAACCTCACGAACCAGGGTAACATATGAAAGCCTCGATCTGGCGAGACCCGAGCCCTTCCCCCACCTCAGCTCATGTGCAGGAGGAAGAGAAACGGAGCGGGGAGGGGGTGGAAGCTTAGAACTGCTGAACACCAGCCCTGGAGATCTGCTTTGGGGCACAAACCTACACTGTGCGGTGCTCTGGAGGTTGCTGGGGTTGGGGAGCTGGGACAGGCGGAGTGCTTGGGAGACTGAGGTTCCGGCTATTTGTGGAGGATAAGGATCCACATCCAGCCACTTTGGGACAAAGGGAAGGCAGGGAGTCTGGAGGCTTCCTAGAAGCGAGAGGGCTGCTGAAGAGGCGGGGTTTGCTTGGAGCTTGCTACACGGGAGAAAGGATAGGTAGACAAGGTTGTCTGGCCACAGTCTGCCCAGCAGGGTGGGAACTTTGAGGAGCTTCAGGCACTCCATCCCCCTGGCTGGCTACTCAGCTCCAAGGCCCCCCCACTGTGACACTGGCCTGATGGCATCTACTTGCAAACGAGTAGTCACTGCACTGGCATCAGGTCAGCCAGAGGGGGGCCCCGCCTACAACACCTAGAGACGCCGAGCACAGAGGCTCACACCTGGGTGCTCAGCCCACTGCCTCTGCCACTGGAGACAGGCACTGCAGCTGGGAATCAGGAAAGAGCTCTTTTCTCTCCCCAGGCACCAGCACAGCTGCCATACGACCACCAACCTCACTCTAGAGGCTGAACACATTCAGACACTCAAGCTTCTGGGCAATAGAGGGCACCACACAAAATTATGAAACGTCAAAGGAACCTGGTTCAGACCAAAATTTCACAAACGCCACAAAAAGGGCCAGATGAAACAGAACTCACCAATCTTCCTGAAAGAGGGTTTAAAATAAAAATCATAAACATGCTCATGGAGGTACAGAAAAATATTCAAGAACTCAGGGACAAATTTAGGATGGAGATTTAATCATTAAGAAATTCTGTCTGAAATGAAACATACAATGGAGGGGTTTAAAAGTAGATTAGATATAGTATAAGAGAGGGTCAATGGAATAGAAATTAGAGAAGAAGAATACAAAGAAGCTGAGGCACAAAGAGAAAAAAGATCTCTAAGAATGAAAGAATATTGAGAACTGTGTGACCAATCCAAACAGAACAATAACTGCATTATAGGGGTACCAGAAGAAGAGAGAGAGAAAGGAATAGAAAGTGTCTTTGATGAGGTAATTGCTGAAAAATTCCCCAATCTGAGGAAGGAAACAGTGTCTCAGGCCGTGGAAGTGCACACATCTCCCAACCCAAGGGGCCCAAGGAAGAAAACATCAAGACATATAATAAGTAAAATGGCAAAGATAAAGGATAAAGACAGACTTTAAAAAGCAGCTAGAGAGAGAAAAAGGATCACGTACAAAAGAAAACCTGTCAACCTATCATCAGACTTCTCAACAAAAACTTACAGGCCAGAAGGGAGTGGCAGGATGTATTTAATGCAGTGAAGCAGAAAGGCCTCAAACCAAGAATATTCTACCTGGTAAGGTTATCTTTTAAATTTGAAGGTGGGATTAAACAGTTTACAGATAAGCAAAAGCTGAGAGAATTTACCTCCCACAATCCACCTCAATAGTGCATTTTGGAGGGACTGCTATAGATGGTTGAATTCCTAAGGCTAAATAGATGTCACCAGGGAAAGTAAAACCACAGCAAAGTAGAACAATTTACTAAGCAGACGCAAAATCAAATCAACTACCGCCGAAGTCAATCAAGGGATAGATAAAGAGTACAGAATATGATTAGTAACATACAAAGAATGGAGGAGGAAAAAAAAAGAACCTTTAGGTTGTGTTTGTAATAGCATATGAGGTGAGTTAAATTTGACTGTTAGATAGTAAGGGAATTACCCTTGAATCTTTGGTAACCACGAATCTAAAGTGTCAACTGCAATCTCCAGAACACAGGCCTGGGGCCAAAAGCTGCCTTATGAAGTTTCTAAGCCCCTGAGGTATTGGCACAACATTGCTCTCAGGTTGCAAGTTTACAACACAGTAGATTTATTTTTCAGAACCAATTTACTTTTACTCAGCACATAGTTCTAATAGCTCTTCCTAAACTGCACACCTTTTGCTCTCTCCTCCTCCATCTGGTTAATATCTACACATTCTGCAGACCTTAACTGAAAAAAAATGGCACCTTCCTCACGAAACCTTTCCCAACCTGACTCTTTCCCCAAGTCCAGGTTAGGTATTCTTCACATATGCTCCTAGGTATTACATCTTTTATGGAATTGATCACATTGAACTGTAACTATCTGTTGATTTCCTCTCTTAGTCATAAAGTCAGCTAGAACAGGAGGTAACTTAATCACTTTTTTCAAAACCCTAACACAAGGCCTGACACTTAGTAGATTCAGTGTCGATGAATATATAAGTGAATAAATGAATCTGCACTCATCTCAAGGCGAAAACCAGAAAGGGAATAATGAGAACTTTACAGGCAGGCATTCTGATAACAAGAGAGGACAACAGTGAGGGAGAAAAAACACAGACCTAGAATTGTTACACAGTACAACAGTGGCTATTTGTAGTAATGACACCGAGTCATCATTTGAGGGCTAAATATGC